GGGGGACCAGCCTGTCCCTCCGGTGGCTGTAACGGTGCCGTAACAGGCTGTTACTTACGTAGGGGTGCCTGGGGTAGGTGCCCATGACAGGCAGGTGGGACCCCAAGGCCCCCAGTGGGACCCCAAGGCTCCCAGCATCTCCCCGTGCCGTTAGCCGCCGGGCCGGTGCAAGGTAAGTTACAGCTCCCTTTGCAGAAGGGGCTCTTGCCGCCGTAGCCTTCAGCCGCGGGGCCCAGAAGCTGTATCGCTGTTGATAGCGACATTTAGCTAGTGAGGGGACTGTCTGTGCAGCAAACCGCATCTGTGTGTTTTAAAACAAACCCCATTAGGAGATACGGCTGTTTCGAGAACCTGTTTCAGTTCCTTTAGGCTGCGTCTATGGCCATGAGATCCCAGTGTGCTCCTGTCTCCTGCCTCTCCGCAGAGCTTGGCCTGGGCACATCGCGGCTCTCCTTCCCACGTAGCTGGCTGAAGGACTCGTGTGAAGTTACCCTGTGCTTTACAGCTGAATTTTTCTCCTGTTGCCAAGGTCCCCTGACGTTTCAGGCTTTGAATGCGGGTCAGAGTGGTGCGGTTGCCTGTTTTAGACAAAGTGGATTTAACCTGATGTGTTTGTCCTGGGGTCATACTGTGCTAAAACTGAGTTTAGACTATAGTCTAAGATGTTGCTGCAGCTCACGATAGCTGTCAGTGAGACGAGGATCCCGTGTTACCAAAAGCAGTTCGCTCATCCCTTGAGGGAGGCAATGGCTGAAACTATTGTATGGTCTTGCGGGTTGCTTAAGTTGATTGAGCAAATGTGACGAGGATGGAAATGTAGGTAAGCTTCAAAATAAGAGCACTGCGCTTGCAAGTGGGAGCCCGAATTTATGCACGGGGAAAGCAGCAACTGTTGGTACCGTAAGGACTATCCGATGTGTTCCTAGGCCCACACGTTTAGCATGCCATTTCCCCCTCTTGATTATTTTTGACCCTAAGCAGATGTCACCAGGAGACCTCAGCTCGATTGGAAAATTCGTGCTGCCCTTATATGAGAAATGAACTCTAATAACGTCTTTGTCCGAAACTTTCAGGCTTAAGTGGGATTGTGGGCTTACTCTTAAAAATCAGCCATTGGATTGTCTGATGGGGTGTAGCGGAACATCAAATCTGAGCCCAGGAGGAGCCCTTTGGCACGAAGCAGAGGAGCTACCAGACCGCTCTGCCTTCCAGCTCGGCCATAGCCTTTGCCTGAGTTGGGGGTTTGGAGGGGCCGACCTCTCCGGACGTGCTGTGCAGGGACCCCAGCGTATTTCCTTGCAGTCGTCCTTCTTATACCTGCTGCCATCAGATGGCTGGAGAAACCATGTCCTCCAAACTGGGAGTGGATCTGACTTCCCACGTGGATGGGATACCCCAGGGTGGCTGTAGGTGATGCTGGCGTTTTTTGAGCAGCTGCTTTTGACAGAGTGCAGCGCTGGGGATCGTCCCTTGAGCAAAAGAGGGCCTTCCTTCCACAGCTGGCCTGCGCAGGGGCTCTGCCTGCTGCTTTCCAAGGCAGGGCTCAGCGTGCTGACATAATGGTTGCTTCTGCATCGTAGGGAGTTGCACTGATCCCTAGAATTGGGATCTGAACCTGTGCAGGCAACTGGCCAGTGACGCAAATCCAGTTTGGCTCAGTGGCAGAGGTGCAAGTGGTCCCAAGTCAGAGCTGCAGAGCTGTGCATCAGTCTGTGCTGTACAGAGCTAGCAAACACTGCCAAGGTGATAAGAGCGGCACAGAGACATCCAGCTCAACCCCTGATCACAAGCAGAGAGAAACAGCACAACTCCAGACACCTGAAAAGTACCATTGATGCCCTCCAAAGGAGGGCTTGCGCATAACCTGCATTCGGAGGATGCTGACTGCATCCTAAGGTCTGGAAATGTGTGCGTGAAATGGTGGTTGCTTATTGACCAGGTGGTTTGTTTTTTTTCTGTGTTTGTAGAGGAACCTGTTGGAGGAAGATTCAGATGAAGAGGAAGACTTTTTCTTGTGAGTTTCTGAACGGCTGCTGTAGGGAATGCGATATCTTAACTGCCTACATCTCTGAGACTGGAGGTGTCAAATACCAAAAGCTGCTCCCTACCACATAGGTGGGGGCTTGGGAATCAAAACCTTTGATTCCTTTGAGATGATCTCCCAGAGCCTTGGCACCGAGCGTGAATTAAGACTTAACAGGTGTGACCTGTATAAGGGTGGGATGTCCCACATATCCTAAGACATGGGAGGGACTGGTGGGAGGCGTGAGAATAATCCTCCATCCACAAGGCACTGGTTGTGTCTTTGAGTCTTTGGTTTAAATACCTGTTTTTGTTGTATCTTCCATCCTGATTGCTCTTTTCTGCCTGCAGGAGAGGGCCTTCTGGACCAAGATTTGGACCCAGGAATGACAAGATCAGGCAGTAAGTTGTTGTTCCTCAGTGTCACACAGATAATATTTTATTCTGGCACTGCGAGCACCTGCTGCTGTCTTACCGGAGTATTTCTGTGTAGTTCTGAATATGAACGTGGCTTGTGCTTGCTTTCTTCTAATTGACGTTTTCTACCCTATGTGTCCACAGCTAAGAGAAATCTCAAATTTGATTCAAGTTATCAAGAAATTGTGTATTGACAGAGGTGAAGGGATAGGATTGTATCACAGTAGCTTAGTGGAGTTTCTAAAGCCCATGCTGTATTCTGGTGATGACCTGTTCCATGCTTTTATGAGGCTTTTTTTCTAGAGCATTAATCCTGAATTTTAACCTTCACTAGCACTTTTTTTTTATTGTTTCATTGCTTTTTTCCTTCATCCTGTAATTTGCTCCTCAATGTTTCAAGAAAGCAAGTGGTCAGGAGCACACCAGGGCCATGTGTTTTGGGCAGCAGCTGGTCCTCTGGCCTCTTCTTCTCCAGATTAAAAACCTGATACAGGTGACCTGGAGATGAGCAGTGACTCAGTGGGTCAAAGCAGCTGGACAAACAGGAAACCATTACAGCTGGAGGAGGGTTATTGACTGTATTAGGGCAAGAAGGAAGGAGTGAACACTCTGGATCTTCTCCCATCGAGTCATTTCCTGCATGATGCTTGTTCTGGGCTCCAGTTTGCCCTGTCCTTTCCTATGAGGGATGCGATGGTGGTACTTAGTGGAAAGGGTTATTCCCAGATCCCAGGTTTGCTTTGTGCTGTTTCCTTTGCCGACCTCCACGGAGCCAGAACAGAGATCTGTGCGGGGACTGATGCCCACGCGTCAATCAGACTGGGTCTTCTTGTGTGCAGCCTGAGTGTTGCTCTTCATTAGGGATTTTTTTTCATGCCAGGAAGAAGCCAGTGCAGCTCTGAGATGACTCATTGCCAACGTCAGTGTTAGGCAGTGCTTGCTTGTGTGCCCGCTCACGCGTCAACAGACTGGGTCTTCTTGTGTGCAGCCTGAGAGTTGCTCTTCATTAGGGATTTTTTTTCATGCCAGGAAGAAGCCAGTGCAGCTCTGAGATGACTCATTGCCAACGTCAGTGTTAGGCAGTGCTTGCTTGTGTGCCTGCTTGCCACATTACCTTGAGGGGCAAAGTGCACTTGAGTTACACAAGAGGCAGTGGGTCAGTCACTGCGCCCTGAGTTTTCAGGGGGTTTCTGCTCCC